TGGAATCACCAGAAACATACATAACTTCAAATTTCTGTGTGGCTTAGTGTTGTGGCATGACATACTGTTTGAAATAAATGTTGTAAGCAAGAGACTCCAAGGTGTCGACCTTGATATATCTGGAGCAATGGAACAACTGGACAAAGCAAAGTCATACCTACAGTCTTACCGGTCAGATGAGGGATTTCAAAATGTTCTGAAGAGTGCACAGAAGTTGGCAGAGGAACTTCACACTGAAGCTATTTTTCCCACCCATTCAAGAATACAAGAGTCACCGAAGAAGAAGACATTTTGATTACGAGGCACAGGATAATCCCATAAGAGACCCCAAACAACAATTCAAAGTTGAATTCTTTAACCAGGTGCTAGATTGTGCAATACAGTCAGTTGAAGTGTGTTTCATGCAGCTCAAGGAACACAGCATTATATTTGGGATGTTGTATGATATTCCAAAACTCCTCACTATACCTGAAGAAGACCTACACCAGCAATGCAGGGCACTAGAGACAGTGTTGACAAATGATGACATGCGCGCTATTGATGCAAGTGATTTAGGTGATGAACTGAAAGCCCTTTCAAGATACATTTCAGCAGGATCAACTCCAAAGGCTGTTCTGGAATATATGTGCACAAATAAGATGATTACCCTCTTTCCAAATCCTTTTGTTGCTCTGTGCATACTTCTAACACTTTCTGTAACAGTTGCAAGTGGAGAACGCAGCTTCTCCAAGCTGAAGTTAATAAAAACACATCTACGTTCCACAATGACACAGGAGAGGCTGGTCGGCCTTGCAACCATCTCAATAGCGCATGAGCTGGCCCAGACTGTGGACCTTCAGGAAGCAGTTCAAATCTTTGCAACCAAGAAGCACGGAAAGCACCACTTTGATTATTCAAACAGATAAAAATGCCAGTGTTTACTATGCAGACAAGAAAAGTTACATTTGCTGTTCAGGCGTTTGAAAGTTGTGTTACTTAACATTTTTGAACAAGGCATTTTAAGTTGTTAGTTCTCCTTTATTGGGGTAGGTATGAGAGGAGTAGAACAGGAAGAAGGCAGAATTGAGAACTTTCAACATTTTGGCCCAAGCGAGGGGCATGGGGCGTCATTTGAGCTCCCCACTTCAGGTGCCAAAATGTTGTGGGCCGGCCCTGGCTGCAGAGAGCTGCGGAGTGCACTATTGCTGGTGGCTCCTGGATGGAGCAATTGTGGAGCTATGGCCCTACCTCCTGGCAGAGCAAGGAACAATTGGGGACCGAGCTTGCGACAGCTGTGCAGGGATGCTTCCCTGTAACCTAACTAGGTTCTTGTGTCATGCCCATCACCAATTCCCAGCACCCCCCAGTGCTGGATAGCTCACTGGTTTGAGCATTGGTCTGTTAAACCCAGGGTTGTGAGTTCAATCCTTGAGAGGGCCACTTAGGGATCTGGGGCAAAAATCAGTACTTGGTCCTGCTAGTGAAGGCAGGGGTCTGGACTCGATGACCTTTCGGGGTCCCTTCCAGTTCTAGGAGATGGGTATATCTCCATTTATTATAAGTATTAAGTCTTTGAAGCTTCCAGGCAGCATCACTCCCCTCTCCAGTTAATCTTAGCTACAAGAGAGCCATAACTGAGAGCCCCACATCTGGAATGCTTTCCTTCATCTCCTGCGTAAATGTGACTCATTTGACAACTGAGTATCAGGCCCCAAGTGAAGTCTCTTAACATATATCACAATATCCGGTAAAGCCACAGCTCTTGATGGCCCTGCAGTTTGAAATGTAAGGGACATGTTCTGCCCTCACATACATGTATGCAGCTCCTGTGGATGGTCATCAGAGGAGACAACTTGGCTTTCAAATGTGCAATATTCCAGGAAAAGAACAAAAAGCTCCCAAGTCATGTAACACTCAGCGTTTCAATCAAATAGTTTGATTAACTTTGTGTTTCAGTTCACACACTTTGCATCTTTCACTTTCCAGTTTTGGCTGAATTTTTTGCTTTTGTTTTAGGGTTTGTATGAAACCAAATCACCCCAAAATTTCAACTGTTTGGGTGTGTAAAACACACAAAACCAGTTTCATTTATTGCCTCCCTTCTCCCAGCTCTCGGGGAACAGGCCACAAACCAGGAAAACACTTTTTTGATAATTTTGATATGACTTAAAAATAAGCAAATCAATATTCACTTTAAAGCCTCCCAGGCTGATATTGCACTGGTCATAAATAGGTTATAGTTTTTACTGTATAATGAGCCACCACCCACCTGAAAAACACTGCACAAGTAAGTTACATAAAGAGAGGTGGCAGTAAAGAGGCTTGTGTGAAGTTCTTTTTCAAAGTCTGCCACCAAGTGGACATATTTCCCTTCTATGACCTGATTCATGAGTGGGAATGAGGAGCAATCACAGGGTGTGACGCTGGCAAAATTGCCACAGGTCTGAAATCCATGAATCCCCAGTCAGCTGTGCAGAGACCCCCTCCTCCCCTTTGATCCTCTGATAGCCACATGAGCCCAAAGCAGCAGGGAGTCAGGACATAGCCATCTGTCACAGCTTGCGGTCATGTTCTCTACCTTCTCTGAAGGGGGAGTCACAAAACACGCAGGAGAGCTATTGCTACTTCAGTGGAGCGCTAAGCTCTACAGTGGTTCTTTGAAGCATACCACCTACTGCTACTCACCTTGAGCTTCTGGTCATGTCCACTTCCTCTGCAAATTGCTGTGATGGGCGAAATAGATACATAGAGGTGGGCTGGAGAAGTACCTATAACCTTCCTCCTCCTCCCCCACAGGATCTTTTACACTAACTTGCACAGCTGGGGGCAACATGAAGGAAGCAGAGGAGCCTGAGTCTTGAAATGAATTAAGTGTCTTTACTAGAGTTGTGTGAATGCTATTAATTATTATGGTCCAGATTAAAAATAGTGACTAGTGATTTTAGGTGCTGACCTTGATATGCCTTATCTTCAGGAAGTTCTAAGCAACCACTCCCTGAAAATCAGATCACTTTTAAAGTGGTTCAAAGTGGGCACCAAGAATTTATTCCTCACTTTTGAAAAACTTGGTGTGTATCATGTACCTCAGTAGCAACAAAGGGCACCAATCAAGGATCAGGTGCTGTACAAAGAAGTGTATTAAAAACAGTTGCCACCCCCAGAATGCTCACAGGGAGTGTTACAAGGAGCCTTCATTCTTTCAAAAGGTCCTTCATTTGATTTAATGTTGCAATAGACTATTTTGTATACCATTAGGCTTCTGAGGTCCTTGCAGGTTGTGATTTGTGTCTTTGACGTGGTCACACTGACAACCATAACCTTGAGATATTTGAAATTAATACGTTCAAAGTGTTGAGACTTGTGATACTGGCCTACTTACTTTAAAAGGGATATGATGGTAGCCTAGGCTTACTAGTTACACATTATAGGTTCTCTTTTTAAAAAAGTTTTATATATTTCTATTAATTTTTTGATAGAAACAAAAGATCAGAGGTTTTAATTTAAACATTCCCCTCTGTGTTTGCAGCAAGATGCCGGTGCATGGGAACAAGGAAAAAAAAACTTTTCAGTGTCCAAACTGAATTGTTTTCATAAACTGAAATTGTACTTAAGAACATAAGAATGGCCAGGTTAGATCAGACCAATGGTCCATCTAGCCCAATATCCTGTCTTCCAATAGTGGCCAATGCCAGGTGCTTCAGAGGGAATGAACAGATCAGGACAATTATCAAATGGCCCCATCTCCTGTCATCCAGTCCCAGCTTTTAGCAGTCAGATGTTTAAGGACACCCAAAGCATGGGGTTGCATCCTGCCCATCTTGGCTAATAGCCATTGGTGGACCTATCCTCCATGAATTATCTAATTCTTTTTTGAACCAAGTTATCCTTTTGGCCTTCACAACAACTCCCGGCAACAAGTTCCACAGGTTGACTGTGTGTTGTCTGCAGCCCTGCCTGCAGCCCAGTCATGTCTGTCACCTGCTGGGATGCACTGGTGGGGCAGGGGAAGGAACTCCCTATGCCTTCAACTCCCTCCTTAGAAGTTCATCTGTGCTGGGGAGGCCATTATTACACCCATAACTGCTCACGCTCTCAACCTACTGAAAATGTTTTTTCCTTTCAACAGAATCTTGGAACTAAACTCCTGGTGATAATAAAACCCTGTGAACAAGTGAATTAATCACAGGGACAATGCACTAGAATAAATATGAATATACTTCATGCTACTGTAGTTCAAAGGAACTAAGGAAAAATTTCTGCTATTGAACATGTCACTGCCCTTCTTCCTAACTAAGAGGCTAAAAAGAGGTAGTATTTCATGAAAGACTATTCTTTGCTTAATTATAGGGTCTTTTAAGTGGTGCCCCCTGTCACTCTTAGAGCAAGTAGTTATAACCCAGAAAATCAGCACAGTTCTATTTTCTAGCAGATGCAGTCTAGTTTTGATACTTTTGTGGTCCATTTCATAATATGAACAAAATGAACTGTCTATTGTTGGCTCTTACTTCTAAGGGAAGCATTATAAATTAGGAATTTATTTGGTACCATGGGCCAGAGAGATAATGCAGTGTACCAATGGCGGTGCTGCTAACTCTCTCAACTTTTTCAGGAGGTTTGTAATATTTGGTATCTTTTCTTAAAGCCCCTACCCTTAAGAAAAGACAGAGAATCTCAGCTTTCATTTAAAGAAAGTTCCTAGCCCTCCTGGTTGCAGAGAAAAGCTTGAAAAAGTGATCCTTAATAAGTCAACAACAGGAAGGCAAAAAGAACCTATCATTTTCAAGCCACTTAGTTTTGTAGAGCCTGACTCATGATTTTTAGATGCTTGTGATTGGCAGTACTGCAATTTTTATAAAAAGAAAATAAGATTACATTATGATGACTAAGAAAGTGACAGGAAAAATGTAGGACATTCAGATTATTGGAAAAAAACAACCCTGTATCTTTATTTATTTAGAAAGCACATACAGCAATGTATGGGGAGGGAACAGAGATGCAAAACAGGTCAGCATACAAATTCCTTTCAAAAGATATGGTGAGACGCTTTTCCAATTAGTTATATATCAGTCTATGTGAGCATTTAAACTGCTATACCTTCCCTAGATAAAAAGAAACCCCACACAATTTCTGAAGAACAAGTTAAATGTCTATTTTCAGAAATTCCTTCATAGTCAATTTTGTAGGCAGCAAAGTTTTTTGTTTTGTTTTTTATTCCTGATGTTTCCCAAGAGGGTTTTTTTTTGTTTTTGTTTAAGCCATGGTTTCTTTCCTCAGTGTCCGCCTCTGATGACAAGTAAGTATACTTGTGAACGATGATCTCCCTTTAGTTCTTGACCTTTTCTTTAACTTCTTCTGATGCTTGAGTGAAATCCCGAGCTCCTCCATTATAGCATTAAAAGAAAGACACTAGAGAAATGTGGAAAAAGTGTTTAACATTCAATGAACATAAATTTCAAACTTAAATTCTGCAAAACTTAGGGTTTAGGTTTCTATAAACACAGGCTTTAAGGCTTGATTCATGGACTTCATGAGTTCTGGGAGTCTCTTCATTGAATTAAACAGTCTGTGGAGTAGGGCCATATTGCACAGTGGATGGGATTTTCAAAAGCTCTGGGCACTGACTCAATCCTGCTTCCTTTGAAAATTAATTTAACATTTATTGCAATGGAAGCAGAGTTAGGCCACTGCTATGCGGTTTTGAAAATCCTACCTAATCACATTTATGCCTTCCATGGTGCCTTCAGATTATGAAACTTACCTTTCCTCGGAAAACCGTACTCACGTTAGTCTTGAAACACGTAGTGCTAAAGAGAACAAATGCAACTTCTTTTGACGATTATTTGATTTCTCCTCCCCCACCCATGAAATTAATGAATCTATAAATAAAACATTTTCCAATGCTCTTTCTACAGAGAAATAGAGGAAAAACACTTTTAAAACATGTGTCCAGGAAAGGAGAAATTACATTAGAGTGAAATAGTTGGAAAATTGCAAAATGGTTTAGAAAGTGGAATGCCATTTGGCTACAGGATTCATGAAGATGTGTTGGGGGGGGAAAATAACATAAAACTGACTGCTAAAATAACACCATGTGGTATGAAAATGTATATAGCTTCAAATGGAAAGAGTTGTGATGTACAACTAATATATAGATTTTTAAAAAAATCAGGTGATAAGTGTGATTAAAATGTACTTTTTTTGACCACCTCACCAGTACCCAGCCCTCTAGTCCATCCCTTATTTTTAACATTCCAAACCCCTCTGAGGAGTTTTAAGAGATGCTTTTTTAAACAGCCCATAGAAATGTTTCCTATATCCCAAACATGGATTTTCCCCTAAAATTACACTGCTGGAAGATGGGCTTTATTCAGTCCTTGACCAGTAACAAGTCAATTCTAATATGTCAAAGCCCTGCAGAGCTAAATATGAAATATTTATTCTAGGGGAAAGAGCGAAATCCAAGCTTTCCTACCAGCTTCGAGTTCCCAAGAAAGACTTTAAAATGTGAAGAATGGCATTATGTTTAGGGCTGTCAATTAATCCCAGTTAACTCACGCGATTAATCACAATTTTAATCACACTGTTAAACAATAGAATACTAATTGAAATCTATTAAATATTTTTGCATGTTTTTCTACATTTTCAAATATATTGATTTCAATTACAACACAGAATGCAAAGTGTACAGTGCTCACTTTATATTTTTATTACAAATATTTGCACTGTAAAAAAGATAAAATAAAAGAAATAGTATTTAACAAAAATATTTAATAAATTTGGTATTCTATTATTGGTTAACAGTGTGATTAAAACTGTGATTAATCGCGATTAATTTTTTTAATAGTTTGACAGCCCTATTTATGTTAGATGTTAACTCAGGCAGAAAAGTGATTTACCAAGGCTGCAGAGGGAATCCTTGTCAGAGCAGAGATTAGAACTCAGGAATTCTAGACTTCCAGTACCATGTCTGGTCTACTATTAACCATGCCCTCCTTTATCTGAGTAGTGCCTGGCGCTGATTCTGCAAGCTGGTGTGCACACAGCTCCAGTCAGAGATTGGGGCATTACTATGAGTGCTTCTTCAGTGTACATGCATATATTGTACGTACTCCATACAATGTGGTATATACTGTGGTGTACCTGGTGAGAGTTTATTTGGGCAATATGTTGCACACAGACCTAGTATGACCCTAGATTATTTAATATACACTTTCTTTGAGAGGCTTCATTTTTGTTCATCTTATGAAACACTGAATGCCTTAAGTATATAATAATTAAATGGTTATTAACTCATGACTGACTTAAAATGTAATTGATATGGGCAAGAAAAACATACTGCTTTCTTCAAATTACTTTCTAGTAGATCAGCCCTTGGTAATAGTCAGGACTTCACTGGTGTAATTATCATTTTAAATAGAGCTTTTGGCCACACAATTTAGGAATTTCTGGTGCTAACCATTAGTTTGAACCAGTGATATTTGATAGATCTCTGGGCCCTCTGGCAGCAGTTGCTGAAGCAGGTGACATCCTGCTGTTGAAGTTGCTTTTAAATTGCATGAGCAAAGCCTTTTCAGAGAATGTCACCATTGATTTCTGCAGCTGATAAAAATTATATGCACCAACCCACTGGCTCTAATGCGTGGTTACTCCCTCTACATTACTTTAATTGTAATTGGATTTTTTTTAAAAATCCAGATTTTTAGAATGAGCCAAGAATTCCATGGTGATTGAGCAAGGGAATATATGAATCGCTAGACTATCTACTTTTTATATAACTGTAATGCAGCGTCTGATACTAATCATTGTTCGTTGTGTGTGTTATAGATGTGGATTTCTGCAAGATGTGCATAGGGATAACTCCTATAGTCTGAACAATATCTTCTACTGGCATGTTAATGTTTACATCTAGGTTTTCCCCAAACTTATTCAGTTTATCCAGATCATACTGTACTCATTACATTGTTTATCATTTGATATCAAGAAACTTAATCCCACGAAGAACATGTCATATTTATGCAGAGATGTTTGACACATCATTGATAGGTTGGTACTTGAAGTCTTAACATTTAAATACCTGTTGAATAAACTACATGGAGCTGTTCTAGCTCCTAAAAAGCTTTAAATGGCCCTCAGTCTGTTCTACTTGTAAACTTCCTTTTTCTTTTTGGTAACGATTGATGCTGTTTATCCAAGTCTGTGTGTGTTTAGATCTTGTATTTCAGAAGTAAACTTCTGCCATCTTGCTCATTATTAAACATTTTACTTTATCACCAGTTTCAAGAGTTATTGGTTTAAAGGTCTGTTGCTGGTCTTGGTTTTAAATTTGGCTTTATCTATAAATAGTTTATCGTATTTACAAGAAGTACATATTGGGGCCCTGGCTTAATCCCAAATGTCTTTGTCCCGCAGAAAATATCCGCAGCCATACAAGCAATTCAGCATGTAGATTTGGGCTGACCCATTCAGAAGAGAGGTTAATCAGCCAAAAGCAAACACACACTGGAATCTGCTGTTATATACAAGGCACAACTTGGGAAAGGGGAAGGAGGAAAGCTTATATGACAACTTCCTGACTCCTACACACCACAGCTCTCAATGCTGTATCTATTGGAAACACACGAATTGTTGTAGCCCTACGGTTGGATTTAAATCTATGTCTTGGGAGAATTAACCAGCTACAAAAGTTGTTTTGGTTTAACAGAGTCCTATAATAATGAAGTGAACGTAAAAATAAGACTGGGAACCTGGACTGATCCTTTTAAGGGAATATTGACAAGGTTTGTAGGCTCCAACTTTGATCTATGGCATATCTGTGTCTGTCTGCAAAGTCCTGCCACCTTTTAGAAAACAGAGTGGAGGAGATGGTGGGTCTCTACAAATAGTTTTAAAAGGCCTTGAGATGAGCGACTCTGTACTGCTTCTCCTTCCTCCCTTCCCATTTCCATGCACTTTAGGATGTTCTGAAGTGCAACTGGAGAAGGTTCCTTAAATTATTTACTAGAACACTGAAAGTTCATCAGAAGAACGTCATACAAAATCCCCTATGGGCCCCATGAAACATACCCCAAAGTACTGTTTATCTTCAAACGTGTACATAGATCACACTTCACTGCTTCTAAAGTGACCTAGGCCCAGTAACAACATGAAGCACTTATAATTGCTCTCTTTCTAGTTTGTGTCATGCAAAGTGGAGATGAGGAAGCAGGACAGATGTTCAAAAATCAGAATTGCCCTGAACTTTTCAGATGAGGAGACAAACTTGCGTCAGCACTACAGAGCAACTGTAAGCCAAGCCAGCGTACATGTGACAGAAGAAAAAATGGTGGTAAGGAAACGCATTCCATTATCAAGCTGCTAAAGGATCTTTATGAAAAAGTAATGTATATGAAATATCATATCATTCTTTTAAAAGGGCATTGTGAAGTTAAAATTACATTTAAAATCACCTTCTGGGTTTTACCTCTTCTTGAGGTATTCAAACTGAAATTTTTTAAGAGCTTTAAAAATTGTTCTAATACTGTCAATTCCTTAGAGTTAGTTGAGGGTGAACATTGAAGACAGACCCGTAAATTTCATTTTTGCATATAGTGTGCTTCACTTGCTGGTTCTGTTGGGATGCTGCAGTATTTGGCTTGCATGGGAACGTTATTCCTTTAAAATATATTGGTTGAGGCCTAATTAAACCAGGGAATTGGTCTCTTCACTGTATAATGGGCAAAGCAGCAGATCCATCACCTGCTCAGGTCTTCCAAATCTTTCCTCTGCTCCCATCTCAAAACAGTGAAAATGCTGTTAGACTTTGGGGTAGCTACCTAATTGGACAGGGATTTTAAAAAAAATGTAATAGAGACTAGATTGAGGAAAACAGGGAACTGTAATTCTTGACTCAATATGCCACACATGAATCTTTGAAGCCTGTGGTTTCAGTCTATTCAGAAGACTTTATACTGAACTTCATAAATACCTAAGAAGAAATACCTTAATCTAGAGGTGCTGTGTCACACTTGAGAATTATGATAATTCTTCACTGATGAGACAAATTTATCCTGGCAGAATATATGACAAGAATCCAGCTCAGAGTTTAGTAACAGAGAAAGAAGAGCAGAATCAGGAGTTCCCTTCTGTGAGCCACAGTAGCCATGTTTCTGTAGTTACACATAGATGAAACAGTGGCATATGCTTAATATTGGGGTGGGGTGGGGGTGGGAGTACTTTGCCATGTGTCTAATATACTGGAGGAAAATGTTTCAAAGTAGTTCTTTCTTGTGAAAATATCACTGCTGTAGTGAATTCAAAGTCTGCTTGAGTACTCCGCCACTAAGAGCTAATTATACAAATTAGACCAGCAGGCAAGCTATTCTAAACTGTACATCAGATTTTTAGAAAGCATAGTTCTGCACTGAAAG